CAAATCATTCCAAGGACTACAACCAGGTTACAGTGACCCATGCCTAAATCAAAGTTGCTAGACTGCCATCCTGGTTTCACATCACTCAGGCTAAGAGGTGCCCTCTCAGCCCTAAATCTGATCATTCTGAGTGGTCATCTCATCTTCTGTCGCCTACCTGTCTCCGTCTCACAAAGGCTTCGCAGCCACAGTTAACAGGCTAAGTCATGTTTTGTTATCCACTTTGGTTCCTAATTTCTTACATTCTATTAATGATCATTTTTACAGCAGGACTCTTGGCAGTCTTTCCTAAAGACTCCCACATCATGCGTAAGATAATCTTCATAATGTTCTATATGATAACAGTTGCAGTTCTTTCTACCCTCAGCTGTCTGGTTAAACGTGACATCCCTGAAAGCATAAGCCCTTACCTTCCCTATACGGGTACAGCCAGTGCCTTCCCTGCTCCCCCTATTCTTTCCAGTTCAACTCCTGGACCAGAGACAAGTTTTATACATCTACCCTCTTAACTTTTATGCTTTCAGATGGGGGAGCAATCACCTCTCATAACTCCACTCCTCCTAACCCCACGTTTAATTTTCAGAATTCTGCCTTACCATGGAAATGTTTCTACCTCAACATAGTCCTGATAAAATGATATGTCTAAATCAAAGGCACCTTTCCTTTTACCTCACCTGGGTCCTTAAAAATGACAGTGCCATGTCTCCTCATAACATCTTGTCTCTTTGTTTTTCCAGTCTGACATACGTGCATTCACCAGTGAAGTTGTCCTGGCTAAAACACCTGGCAGCAGCGTCTACCTGGGCATCAACCTTCATCCCGTCGACTCCCCTAGGCTCCAGTACAGCACCCTTTGCCAGCAGGAAGTAGTTAAAGAGAGAAATCTTTGCCCCTTTTCATAATAATAATCATAAGACGGGATATGAAAGGTTTTGGCCCAGACAGGACACTGTAGCCAGGAAAGCCACAACCGGAAGCAGGAAGCCCCATCTTGCCCTGCCCCTAGGAAGTTACCTGTGACACCATCTTCCCACCCCTGGGAATTTACATATGGCGCCAAACCTAGGACCAATGGGCTACCTGTGTATCCCTAATGCCCGCCTTAGGTTCCACCCCAAACCGAGGCTATTTACAGGCCCCCACGCCACGTGTCTGCGGGAGAGATCGCCGGACGCCAGCGGTGGGGTGCCGGTCATCTCTCTCCGTGTTCTCAGAATAAAGGCCGCTTTTTATTTTATATTTCTCATCTTTTGTTAATATTTTTCATCTTTTGGAAATAACTCTATCAGTATTCTAGAGCTTTTCTGTTTCCAAATGAATTTTAGAATAGTTTTCTCTATATTTGTGAGCTATACTAATAGTATTTGGATGGGCATTGCATTAAATCTGTATAAGAGTTTGCAATATGATATTTTTTGAGTTTTTCATATCCTTAAACATAGTCTTACTGGTTTTTATACACACCTGATGTATTCTAAAAGATATGATCCTAAGAGTTTCAAACTATTGTGTTCTTCTTCTCAAAGATATCAGCAATAATAGATACTTTTTTCCTATTTGTTTGAGACAGGGTTTCCCTATGCAGTTCAGGCTGACTGTGGACTCACATCTTAGTCCAATAAATTCACACTGGTAATCCTACCTCAGCGTTCCAAGTTTGGGATTACAGGTGTGTACCTGACACCTGAAAGAATTCCTGGTGTTATTTGAAAGATGAGAAAACAGTCATGAGATACACACATATTCATTAACTGTCATTTCCTTAAAGGAAAAGTGTTCAAATTAACACATAACACCATTGGAGTGTAGGGAATCAGAAGACGTGTTTCTATCTCTTATGGTCTGAGGATAACAGACTACACTACTGCAAAAATGGGAGACATCACAGCTAGGAATATGTGTCAAATCTGAGCACCAGTATTATGGATTAAGAGAGTATTTATGGAAAATGAGTGAAAAGACCAGTGGAAAATAATGAGAGACCTGGTGACTTTAGCCTTTCATGATTCTAGATCAGGCTTTATTATAATGCTGAATGTCACAAATATTGAAATAGTCAAATATTATGCGTGTTTTTACCTAGAAAATATTAAGGCTTGGCACTGTATCATAGCTGTGTTGTAGCCTGGCACAAATCATATAATCTTGAGCCCTACATTTAACTAGTGCCTTGTATTTGAGCCAGGAAATTGGAAAATGACTCAGCATATAAGTACCATGAGAGAAGCAAAATGAGCTGTACCCAAGGAAAAAAATTTAACTTGCTCAAAAACAACAACAAAAAAACAAGATACAGGTGTCAACCAAAAATTAACATAAGATTGTAGCTACATTGTTTCCAATACGATGTTCTTTATGATTCTCTCTTTTAAAAACTCTTAACATTCCAATCCAGGATCACTTGTTAAGATTTTGAAATGCGGGAGTTTTTGAAATGGGAGAAGTGGTTCTGAGCACAGCTATTTAAATTCCAAATTTATCCTTTGTCTGTGTGGATTACTATATTGTTGTTCACAAACTGCCTTCAAGCTCCAGAAATGTTTACTGACACAAGCAGAAACCTAGATTAAATACAGTGTCACCTTAATGAAAGAATAATAGTGAAAAGGAGGGAAGAAAAAAGACAAACACCATCTGTTATGATACCCACCTCTTTACCCGGCATTAACGAGGCTGAAACAGGAGAATGGCCATGTATTCAAGGACAGACTACCCTAGGTAGTGAGCGCAAGGTCAGCCAGAACTACAAAGTGGGACTATGTCTTTAAAAACAGAAAACAAAAATGAAAAACTATTAAAACCGAGGAAGAGAGGAAGACAATTAAAAGAAAACAAAAAATATTAGAGCTGAATGAAAGTAGACTTAACTAAAATGGGAATTATGGAATGTTGTTGCAGAGGAAAGCTAGTCATGAAGTGTTACCCAGGAGGCAGTGAAAAATACAGTTATGAATGGGACCTATTGTGCCACTTCACAATAGTGACCTCATTCATTCAATACATCTGCAGTCTACTAGACAGGAGATCCAAAATTTCATGGAAATGTCAAACTCAGAGCAAATAAGCAGCTTGAATTCAAGGCTTTGAATCATGGGCTTTAGCAGATATTTGATATTCAAGTTGAAATAGGAGAAATATAATCCTACCTGGTTTGATGGAAAATCAGCAAGTTGGTTGGCTCACAGCATTGAAGAATGAAGTCACAAATCAAAAGAAGTTCAAAAAGTTTTCCTGGAAAAAAAGACAGAATAGCCCTGCCTTTGCAGGAGGGGTCTTCAGTGTTTAGCCCACAGATCTATTGTCAGGGGTCATTTATACCGCAAAGTCAGAATGTGAGTACAGTGTGGGTCTCAAACTACAAACTACCTATAAGAGTATAGCTGCTAAACTAATATTATTCAGAAGGGCAGCAAGTCACCCAGAAAAGGTATGCAGAAAGAGCCAAGGAATTTTGTGGGAACAATAGCCCAGGGTGTTCTGTTCATTGAGTATGTTAATAGATGCCTATCTGGACTTCCTGGGGAAGGCATTGGTAACTTTAGTACATTTCAAGCTATTGTTTTTTCTGTAAGAAGCATGTAGACATGGTCACTGCATCTTCACCTTCAGGTCTGGCTTTCTTCAGCTGTGCCTCTAGCAGGGACTGTTGTATTTAGTTTTTTTACATTGATTCCTTTGAGGTTCCATTTCCTCTCTTACTGTATATCAATTTCTGTCTACCTTGGCCTCCTGTAGTAAAATCACAATACTATCTGAATGGATAAAGTGATATTTATACATCTAAGAAAATATTATTTAATAGGGGCCTGGATTTTAGCTCAGCAGGCAAAAGTACTTGCCTGGCAAGAGCCGGGTTGTGAGTTTGATCCCCAGTACCTAAAAAAAAGTGATTTAAAATGCAAGTAAAGAAAATAATTTCATTTGTGAAGATGTATATGAACAAAATTTTCAATTAAATCTGTCAATGGCAAATTAAAGAGTGGTAATAGTCATATTTAGAATCTAAGGTTGTTCAGGCTGGGGATTGAGCTCAGTGGTACAAGGACCAGCCAGGCAAGCACAAGGTCATGATTTCAATCCCTGGTATGAAAAATAAAATTTCTATAGTTGTCAACCATGTAGTGCTATGAGCACAATTATTGAAATTGACAGTTGTTCATTCAGTGGCTGAATTTTTCTTCTGTGTTCTACAAAATATCTACAGATAACATGGTAAATACAGTGAATGATATACTGTCCCCTATACTCTGGGTATTTGCTGAGAGTTGTTTTTAGTTTTTATTTTTTCACATACTTGAAACCTGAAAATATTTGGTGATACTAGATAGAGAAACTGTGATAATTATTTTTTCATTTTAATCATATATTTCACTATATCCATTAAGTACATTTTATTTGCTACAATTATGCTAAGAGAAGTTGATAAATGATTCTTAATATTATGGGCAGCTGAGTTAGTTAGAAATAACAGCAGTCAGACAGTGATATAGGGGAATTCAACTCCTGATCTACTATGTTGGGTATGAGTTTAGGTTCTCTAAAATTGAAGAATGAACAATTAGGAACAATGGAGGTAAGAGCAGAATTTATTTTTTGAGAGAAATAAATTGACAGGATTTTGCTCTAGATGGGACATTTCAGCACTGGGAGGTGAGACCAGGGGACATTTACCTTGAGGTCACTTTCCCTTCTCCTATGCAACTTACCTGTGGCATGAAAAGAGTCCCAATCAGCTACTTGCACATCAGCAATGCCACCTTTAAGCACCACCCCAATGGAAACTATATGAATGCCCCTACATGACATTTTTACTGTGTATTCTCTCTTTTACATTCCAAAAATCCTATCATTTGGTTCCCTGACCACTAAGGCAGATTGAGTGTCTCCTGGGAATCCCTCCCATTTTGAGTCCCTTTGCCTTAAAACCACCAGTTTCTTCTTCTTAGATGGTTTACTTGCCACTGCTAATATGCGTACAATAGCAACCTTACTCACTGAACATGGGTGAGATACCTTCTGTTTTTTGTTTGTTTGTTTGTTTGTTTGTTTCTGTTTCTTAGCAAGCTTGTGACAGAAAACACATTCTGCCATCCCCAAACAGGGTTACTAGTTTCCACACATCTTAGGCCACACAGCTGGAGGTAACATGGAGATTTTTATGTGCTGGGACCCTGCCCTGCTCTCTTCGGTTACCTGCTAAGAAGAATGGGTGTTGGAAGCTTGCCTGTCACATTTTCAAAATAGATTATGATCTCTTATGTTGTGTGTGACCAAGCACAGCTTCCACGTTCCTTGAGGGAGCTACAGCTCTTAGTTCCTGAGGTGAAATTTTTCTCTCAGCTCCCTCATAATTCTGTCATGCTGACCACTTCCTGTCCTCCAGAAAACACACCTCTGTGGTGCCTGGTTCATAACCTTGGTGCTTTTGGCCTCTAAAAGGCTACAACAACCAAAAAGCTGATCTTTTATTTATGCTTTTGTCACAGTGGTGATAAGTTGGCCAAAACCCTTCATCTTTAGGCCTTCTTCACTTTAGGATGTGGTTTTCTCTCACTCTGTCTTCTGTGATGGCCCAAGTACTCCTGGCTCACTCTGCTCCAACAGGATCTCTCCCCTTCCCCTCACTTATGATGCAGCTTCTGTCTTTATAGCTTCTCCCCATATCTCTCATACCAACTCCCATTGCTTTTTCAGCCAAAGGTTTCTATACCCCCTGCATCATCCTCTCCTCCTCCTTCACTCCCCTGGGTCTCCAATCCTCCCCCTAGAGTCTCCAGTCCTTCCCCTAGCATTTCTCACAAGGCTCTGACTTCTCAATCCCCATGCTTTACCCATCTGTTCCATCTGAGTGTTCTTTTTCTCCTTTCCATGCATCACCATTTTCTCTGCCTGCCCACCACACTCAGTCTCAGGCATTGAAGCCCTCTGGCAGGCCACATGGTTGCCAGCAGCCATGTTGATTACACACATGCACCTGCTGGGCTCATCTCTACTGCTGCTTTGGGAACAGGCTGGACCTAAAAGATTAACTAATATTTGTGTTCCTTCTTTTTAACTTTCTGAGCTACCTCAGCTTAACCATAAATTAGGTCCCTTTTCTGGTATTCTTATTTCAACAGAGCTCTATTAATTGATCTATAAGAAGGCTCACTCTACTCTATTTATTATAGTACAAGTTGGCCAAATATATTTGAGTGCATTCTAATTTTATAAAATGATTGTCAGTTTATATATCTGTTGTCCATTTGTCCAATTGTCTGCTCTGTTAGCAGCTTTTTCTTTTTACTTGAGCTCAACAACTTTTTCCCTCAATATTTATATTTTCAGATTATGTAACAAAGTTTTATTTGGGTAACAGATTTAAAAGACATGCTTCCACCTAAGTTGCCAGCTGGTCAAAATGATACTAAAATTGGTTAAACAAAATCCCTTGGGGTGAGGCAACATTAAACAGCACTCCAATTGATAAACAAGAAAGTGGCCACCTGGTAACTTTTTTAAAAATTTATTTTAATTTCAAAGAGATTAAAATAAAAGAGGACTTAACAAATGAGATTGGAGCACAACAGTTTAAGCAACACAGTATATCAAACAATACAACCTGACATATCAGTAGCTAACTTAGTGTCTCTTTCCTTGAAGTAGTTGAGTATATTTTAATACACAATAGTATCAAACATAACAAAATATTATAAAACCATTAAAGAGCATGAAAGTATTACATATTGTTTGGAATGAAATAACACAAAATGAACAATGGTTACTATATTATCTCATTGTCCATAAAATATTTGTTTATACTATCACACATAATACAATCCAATAAGATACAACAAGACAGAACCAAGGAAACAGAAGACTAAAAGCATGTTAGCACTTCAAAACAAGATGATATTAAATCAGCACTAGCTATTATAATGTCTTGTTTTCTTCAAAACTGCTGTTCAAATAATCATAGATAATAAAATCAAACAACCCAGGATGAAACCATTCTGAGTAATGAATGGGAATATTATAAGACTCCAAAGCAATGTAATGGGGGAGCAGGATTACCACACACTCTTATGTACTCTTACCATTTCTCACACCGGGGAGACTATATGGTATTTACACATGAACAACCAGGTACTTTAACCAGGTCAGGTTCACTGATGGGAGGTCCAAATAAACTCTTTAGTCCCATGGGAAAATGTTCAAGTAAAGTTCATATTACTAAGACAATTCATTGTTGCTGATCTGATGGTATATTCATGCCTTCAAATATAAAATTGTGATTGTTTATGATGACAAATGTTTTCTTTCGTATCTAGATGTCTTATGCCTTTTTCTTGTGTTCCAGCCTGGTGATTTAGATCAGGCCAATACAAGGTCACCAGTCAAATAATAATTTTTAACAAAAATTTATGTAATGTAATAGTGAGCAGTCCAAAATATGTCACAAATTTTTTCAGTGCTCAAATTTTAAAACACCCATGATTAATAGAAAATAACACTTCCATTTAATGTTCTATATTAAATTTACTGCTTGTCCTGTACTGTATGGTATTAATCTTCTGGATGTTTAACAGCTATAGTTAAGAGATAATTATAAATTCCCTTTGGATGACTTGTGCTATTATCCACCAGATATTTTATAGAAAAAAAAAGGTTATATGATGCAGGGGGCAACAGAACAATGAGACCTGGCATGGGGCTGAGACTGGGGCAGCAGCCAGGTCAGAGCCAGTCCAAGCCTGTCTGTCAGCACTGGCTCAGCCCTTAGGGTAGGGATGCATTTGCTTGATGTTTTGTCTTGAGGCCTGACCCACAACAGGAGGTGTCCATCTCCCACATGGTTGCAAGGTATCTGGGCTTTTGCATTGGCAATTTCTAGGACCTAGTCCTGTCTCACTGTCTATATATTTCTAACTAAGTCAGCTGCCTGTAACAATAGGGCTGGGACTTCCAAGGAGCAAGAGGATTATTTCATATTGCTTATAGCCTTGGAAGAGACAATCACGTGCTGCTCTGGGCCAAATCTCAAGACAAATGCCAACAGAAACACAATCAAGCGCTAAGAACCAATAGTCCAAATAGTTCTGTATCACCCTGAAGAAGTCAAGAGTCACCATCACAAGCCCCTACAGGAAGAGTCCCTGTTGTTAAGGAAGCCCACTTATTATGTGACATGCTCCTCCATTTGTTCCTAATTGAATTAATTTTACCTGAGCAATTGACCCTAATGGTTGAACACAGTTCTATCCCACCTTATGCTCACCTTGCAAATTCCCATTTTTCCCCTCTTTTGACCCATCTAACCTCCTCTTTTTACTCTATAAATACAGAGTCTTTGGCAACCCACTCAGGACCCCTTCTGTCTCTCAGACAGAAGCTTTATTTCTCTCAATAAATATATTCCATTTTAAACTCCATCATTCTAAACATTATTCTGCTATTTTAGAGAACACAAATTCATACCAGACATATAGTAGGTCAGGAGTTTCATAACCCCCTATCATCAACATGAACCAAATTAACATAAATAACTTTATGATTTGTCTGAATGCTTTTCCCTTTTCATGCAGTTTTAAGTGATCAATACAACTCACAGTGGTTGTATTTCTGGCAATCTATAAAGTTGTATATATCAGTCATTATAAATGTAAAATAACTGGTTTTAGTGTATAATTTAGCAAGAACTAGATATTGCCATCGCAGTAGGTTATCTCATATAAAAGTGAATGTTTAAATAAAATGGTTCTGAACAATTTCTATATTACTGGCAGCTTCAACAATTTTAAGATACATGAACTATGTATTTTTTTCCTTTTTGTAGAAGTCTTCTATTATGTTATTGAAAGAAGTCTGTACATCTGTAGGACCCTGTTTATATTTTGATGCTTTTTCTGCATTGAAGGTTATATGAAGATTTATTTTTATCTTAGGCTTAAACTCACTGCATTGACACTGATGGAGTGAAGCAACAGTCCACTACATTAATTTCAATTATATATTCATGGCATTGATCATATGAATTACTGAGGAGGTAAATTAGATACATACATAGACAAGAATCAGTACTGTTAGTATTTTCTGGTGCAATAGAGAAACAGAATATAAGAAAAAGTAAAAGTGGCCTTTCTATTTAAGGAATGTGAGGAGGAGCCCCCCAAAAAAATCAAGTTTTTTTTTTACTATGGTTTTAGGGGTATATGTGACTTTTGCCTGGATGTGGAGATTAGAGCAGACATTTCTGTCATGTGAGGAGCTGATTGGAATTTTCTTCAGGTCCTTGGGAAAGGAATGAGGAGGTTGTAATCAGGGAAAAAGAGGAAGTGGCCAAATGGTTAGAATCCCTGATTGGGTCTTCCACCATGTTCAACTACAACCAGGAGTTCCTGTAACTCATTCTAGGGCAAAACTCTTTCAAGTACATCCCTCAGTTTGAATGACAAAATGAAAATAAAGAAGTTTTGCTATGTGTCTTCCTCCAATGCTGGTGGTAACCATTCACAAGAAATATTTTGAGTCATATCCTTAATAAATTGTAGATACCATAACCAAAATTACAGATCAGTTCACTTTCAGAAAACCGAAGCAGCACTTAAATGCAGGCATAAAGGCCTTCAGTGAGAGTATCCCTGAAGAGGTGAGATCAACATTATAGAACACAAACTGATACTCATTTATCTGAGTTCACTAAAGAGAAAAATTTATAATGGTGTTGCTACAGGGGAAAGAAACTCCTGATCTACTATGTCTGGTATGAGTTTGTGCTGTCTAAAATTAAAGCACAAATTTTAGGAACAACAGAATTTAAGAGTAGAATATATTTATTGGGAGAAAGAAAGCTGTCTGAGAGAGAGAAGGGGTCCTGAGTGGGTTGCCAGAGCCTGCCTTTTCTAGGGACTTCTATAGAGTAAAATCATTTTGTGAGATGGATTTAAGGTGGGAATACTGGGAGCTCACAAGGCAGATATGCATAAGATGGGACAGAAATATGGAGCCATTAAAATTAATAGTTCAGGTAAAAGTGTTTAAATTGGGATCAAATGGGGAAGCCTGTTACACAGAAAGTAGGAATTTTTATGCAATAGTGACTTTTCAATTAATGGGTTCAGAAGGTGACTCATGACTTCACCAAGGATGATAGAAATTATTTGGAGTATCAGGCTTTAGTGGAATGGTAACTGCTGACTTCCTCAGAGTGCTAGAGAACCATTTCAAATATCAATCCTTACAATATGAATACATTTGCTTAATCTTTTGTCCTGAAGTCTGACGCTTAGCAGGAAGTGTCTGCCTTCCCTATAGTTGAAGGTATCTGGGCTTCTGCATGGGATCCTTGGAGAACCTAGCCCTGTCTCACTGCCAACATTATTAGACTAACTCAGCTGCCCATTATAGTATTGTTTGGAAAATTGAATACAAATGTCTTGTGCTCTAGGTTAATAATCTGGGGATGGCAGTGTGCAAAGTATTTACCATTGTTGTCCCCTGATTAACATGTTTTGAAATTTAGTTTTAGTATATTTTTATCCTTGAAGTCAAATGGAATTGGAAATAAAAAGCCTAAGGTAAATCTCTTTGGTACAAGCACTCCTCTGTGGATATCCACACTGTAGAAGACATTCAGGTAAAGAAGTCTACACTACAGTCTATCATTTGGGATCCACCCTTGCAGGGAGGGGTTCCTTTCCCTGTTTATTCATGACTCAGAAGGAGAGCAGTAGAGAAATACTGAATCAGTGATGAAGAGGGGGGCTATATGAACTGTCCAAGCAGGTGGGCCACAGCAGGCGGTCTCTTAGGTCTTCCTATCTGGGCATTATTGACCTGTTGTGAGCACAGTACTGGAGCAGAATGTTTGCTGGATCTCATTTAGTGGTTTCAATGTCATGTGGCCTGGTTAGGAAAGAACCTGGGAGATCTCCAAGCCACAGAATGCTGAGGTTCTGGATGGGAGCCCAGAAATAGGGAGCAAATGGGCTAAACCAGTTACAAGTGGTTAGAAGCAGTTCCGGTGTCTTGATCCTCAGGTATTTAGTTAGCTTCATCTCCTGAGGTCCTCCAGCATTGGCTGTGGGTCATTCATTCTGCATTTTGCCTCTTTCTCGTGGCAAGAGTGACTCTATCTTCTCTTTGACAGTAGCAGATTCCAGTATCATCTTTGAAATTCTCTGCTGCCCTGGCATCTCCACAAGCTCAATGAGGGAAGGAGCTTGGGGACACCCTGACTCTGATGCATTTTGTAGCTGCTGCAAAAGTACTGAGGAAGGTCTCTGCTCTCATTGCTGTGAGAAGCAGACCTGGAGGGTCTGATGTTTATAAATGTCTGTGATACAGGGCCTTATAGCCACAACTGCTATCCTTAAACTTGTGCTTTTTTTTGTATTTAGATTGATCTCCTAAATTTATAGTATGTCCTTTTATTTCCATCCTCATGACACGTGTTGGCAAAGGTACTGAGTATTTGAAGATGTGTAGTGATGTGCCTCAGTGGACGAAGGCTTCTCAAAACCTGGTGAACTCCTGTATATCATACAGGATAATACAAAAGAATTTTGAACATAATTATTTAGGTGACACCTCTGCTCACAGACTGTTTGTGAGAACATCCATGGATTTTTGAATTCTGAGAAAAATGAAGCATATATGAAAGTGTTATCAAGGGTAGGGTAAAGTGTGCTTGCTAAAGACAAATTCCAGAATCACCTGTCTGTTAAACCCTCATTGAAAAATGCCAAAATTTATGCATTTGCATGGACCCATACACATGGTATCCTTCTGAATGGAAAGGAATAGGCATGTCATCTATGAATTAACTGCTGATTTAACAGGTTGGCTGATAATATACATTGTTTATCTATAGAAATTCTCTGCAATGGACTTTACTAAGTGGAGTAAAATAGAATCCCTAAATAGAAGATGTGCTGCAGGGATATCCATAGTTAGGAATGAAGGATTTTCTGTGTAGTGTGGATCAGAAGAGAATGGAAAGATTGTGCAAGTGATTGGCATGATACAAGGTGCCAATAGCAGGATTTACAAGTGAGAAGATCTTCACTGAAAATCGAGTAGTTCTTAGGGTAAGCATGAAGTTAAATTTGGCTTCTGATTTCTTACTTGAGATGAATACCACCAACTTTGTCAATATTCAGTATTCCACTTACCTGTTAACCCATGAATTATGGGTTCCAAACTTGAGATCTAATTTTGATTTTCTCTAATTATGTGGCAGTGTCATGATGCAGGAATTTGAATCTTTTTTTTTTGTACCAAGGATTGAACTCATTAGCTCATGTTTGCCAGACAAGTGTTTATGCCACTGAGACAAATACATAAACATGAATTTGTTTTTAGTATATTATGGAAATTATCAACATTCTTCCTCAGAATGTCTTGAAAGTTCTTGGAATGTTACTATATTGTATGGATATAAGTTTTACAACAAACCAATGGTGTTTTATGCAGTCAATTTTCAAGTTTCATTTTTTGTGGGGTTTTTCAGTCAAGGTTTTTCTCTCTATTTCAGACAGCTCTGTAACTGAGGTGGGCTTCTAACTCAAGGCAGTTCTCTTGCATCAGCCTCCCAAGATATATTTCTTATTTCTGAGTGAAAGAGGATCACTTCGTGACACTGAGCTATAATTTGCAACTTGTGCCTTGTTTCATTGTTTATACATCGTTTACCTACACAGTTTTCCATTATCATTTGTTATTATTTATGTACCATATTTGATGTTAATTATGTTTTGTTATATGAATCTAAATTCAAATTTCAAAATGCTGCTTAAGTATATTAAGAACAAAGGACTCAGTGACATAAATGAGATTTGAAGAGATATCATTTGCAGTCTATCAAAGTGATTCACAAGATATTTGCCTACCCCTTTGCTTTGTGGATGCTGGTCCTGTAGGATCCCACTGTGAGCTCTGCTTGAGAGACAGTGGGGACACCGGGACCCTTGCAGTGACTCAGCACAAAAATCAGTGCTCCCATTTGGCTGTGAGTTGCAATCTAGCATCCAAATTGCTTTTTCAAAAAATGTGTTTATACATAAAATTAATCACCAAGACATGGAATTAAACTTTGAAGGATTCAGTCTCCATTCAGCTGTGATGTTTGGTTCTACTTTGTTTAGTTCAGTTTTGTTTTATTGAGACAGGGTTTCACTATGTGTATCACTGGATTTGAAACCTGTATGGTGCCTACAATTTCCTTGACTTCACAACAGCCCTCCTCTCTCAGCTTCTTGAATCTTGGGATTATAAATATACACCAACACTGCTTTTGATTCAGATTTTTATGAGAGAATTTAAGATATCCCAGGCCATGAGTCTCAATCTTCCTTTGAGAAATACATGTATGAATTTTTTTGGATCATACTTTTATCACTTGGCCACTCAGCAGTTATCCCCCTAACATTACTTGGGAAGCACATTTGTTTATGCACTGACTATAGTGAGCGTCACCGGGGCAGTTGTGATTTTAACCAGTTGATTCTTGTATTGAACACATGAGAGAATCGACTCCCCGTTTGTGATGTAACCCCCCCGAGCTATAGAACAGAGCTGTAAGGAATGTCTCACTCCCTAATTCCTCCTTGAGATATCGGAGCAGGACAGGAAGGAATGCATTTGCTAGTCATTATCCACAAGATGTTCTGTCCTCTGTAAAGGAAAAGATAAGTAAAGGAATGTGCTGTTCAAACGAGACCGAGTTATACCTGGCACTCTGAGATCAGACCAGGACCCTCAGTCTCCATGGTTACTCAGCCCCAGACCCCTTGAATCAGCATCTGCCAAAGTCCTGCGCCGTTCAAAATTAACCAATGCGATCTGCTTCTGTAAACGTGCTTGTTTCCCGCTTGTGCCCTTAAAAACCCTGCACAAATTCCCCTCGGGGCCCTCCGCACTCGTTTGCCTGGAGGACCCCATGCGCATGGAAATAAACTTCTTTCCCTCACCAAGAGTTGAGTCCTTGGGGTCTCTTTCCCTGCGGCAGCGGCCCTAACATTCTGGAGGCCCCAGCGAGATAGCACGCCTCACGGGAGGTGACCTCAACGGCTCTGCGGTGGGTGAGTACGACCGGTCGCTTCTTATTTTTACTCTGAGGATCAATCTACTGGTATTTTACGCCCCGAGCCAAACGGCTCCGATCTAGGGGCAATTTTTGTTACCTGTTTTTGTTATCTGTTCTCTGTTCTCTGGTGACTGGGGGACGCCCCACACGGTTTTCCGTGACTCACCGTCTGCGATAGGATTTTCCTATCAGTCTGGGGAATTTTATTCCCAATCTGTGGTCCATCCAGGCCAATTCGGAGACACCCTCTGAGGTGACTCATCCGGGCCAATCTGGAGACACCCTGCAAGGTGGCTCGTTTGGAGTGAAACTGATGCGTGAGAGTGAGGTGGCCGGCCTGTTTGTCCTGTGTGTCGTGGGTGTTGTGATTAGTTATTTGTTGTATTGCGCTTGCGTTAACCGCCCTGTGACTATAGAACATCATGGGACAGTCGACCTCATCCCCATTGTCCCTCACACTCGACCATTGGTCGGAGGTGCGGAAGAGGGCTCACAATCTCTCCTTGCAGGTCAAGAAGAGTAAATGGCAGAATTTCTGCTCAACTGAGTGGCCCACTTTTTCAGTGGGATGGCCGCCGGAGGGGACTTTCCACCTGCCCCTCATCCTAGCGGTTAAGAACATCATCTTCAGCCCCGGACAAAGGGGCCACCCTGATCAGGTCGCTTACACCTTGGTATGGCAGGACCTCAGGGAGGAACCCCCACCGTGGGTGAAACCCTTTCTTCCCCCTTCTGACTCCTCTATACCAAAACTCTTAGCTCTGAAAGGACCTCCCGCTTCCGCTCCGGCTCCGGTCCTGCCCGAGTCTCAGCCTGATCTACCTTTGCTCGACTATGACCAGCCTCCTCCCTCCCAGCTGACTCAACCTCCTCCGTACCCACTCTCTCCTCCAGCCTCCTCGTCCGGATCGAGCACTCCTTCTCCTTCAGCACCCTCTTCACCTGAACCGAACCCCTCTTCTCCTCCGATACCCACGTCCCCTCTGTATCCCCCGCTCCCTACGATGGCTTGCTCTGGGTCTACACCTCCGGGGCCCACGGGCACAGCCCAGAACACTCGGAGTAAGCTACGGCCTGAGGACCCAGTCGTTACCCTCCCTCTTCGCCCCTACGGGCCCATGATAGATGACGGGTCAGATGGAGGGCAGATGCCCGCTTTACAGTACTGGCCTTTTTCTACCTCAGATCTCTATAACTGGAAAAACAATAACCCTCCTTTCTCTGATGATCCGTCTAAGTTAACAGGTTTAATGGATTCTATCATGTTCTCCCACCAACCCACATGGGATGACTGCCAGCAGCTTCTAGGGGTCCTGTTCACCACCGAGGAGAGAGACCGCTTCCTTCTGGAAGCCCGGAAAGCTGTTCCCGGAGAAAATGGCAGACCCACCCAGAGACCAGAACTGATTGATGATTTCTTTCCCTTAAAACGCCCCAACTGGGACCCCAACTCACCTACCAGTAGGCAGCATCTTTCTATCTATCGCCAGACTCTAATGGTAGGTCTCCAGGCGGCCGCAAGGTGCCCCACTAATTTGGCCAAGGTAAGGGAAGTTACCCAAGGGCCTACTGAGACTCCCTCAGTTTTTCTGGAACGCCTGATGGAAGCTTACTGGCAGTACATGCCTTTTAACCCTGAAGAAGAAGGCCGACAGGGCTCAATAGCCATGACCTTCATAGGGCAATCGGCTCCTGATATAAGACCTAAGCACCAAAGGCTAGATGGTCTGCAAGACCTAACTCTGAGGGATCTTGTTAAGGAAGCTGAAAAAGTCTACTATAAACGGGAGACAGAAGAGGAAAAAGAGTTAGCTAGAGACAAGAGATGAAACAAGGAATTAGCTAAAATGTTGGCCACAGTTATTCAGGGAAAACCTGAGACAGGAAAGGGAAAGCCCACTCGCCCCCCCCATTAGACCCTGACCAATGTGCATATTGTAAGGAAAAAGGACACCTGATCAAAGACTGTGAGAAATTGAGAAACGAGCCAGAAAGGAACGAGAAAAACAGTCCTCGCAGCGGCCCTGAGCCCCCATGCTCACCTTAGATGAAGAGGACTAGGGACTTCGGGGCTCGGACCCCCTCCCCGAGCTCAGGGTAATGTTTAAAGTGGAGGGGACTCCCATAGAATTCGAGGTCGATACTGGAGCTGTTTACTCGGCTCTTCAGGCCCCCTTAGGGGCCCTTTCAACTAAGAAATCTCTAGTTCAAGGGGCTAACGGGAGCAAATATCGCTCGTGGACCACCAAGCGCACAGTTGACCTAGGCAAAGGAAAAGTAAAACACTCCTTCCTGGTTATTCCTGAATGCCCTGCTCCCCTCCTGGGACGAGACTTATTAACCAAACTGGGGGCAAAAATCTCCTTTGAGCCCCAAGGACCTCAGGTGACATTCCGTAACCCAAAGGTTGGGCAACCCATGGTTACAGTGTTATCTCTAAAATTGGAAGATGAGTATAGGCTCTATGACCACCGAGACCCCCAGCCCATCACCCCTGCCTGGCTAACTGATTTTAAAGACTCCTGGGCCGAGACAGCTGGGCTCGGGCTGGCAATCCAGCAACCGCCTGTAGTGGTCACTCTAAAAGCCACTGCCTCCCCTATTCGAGTTAAACAATATCCCATTAATAGAGAAGCTCACCTAGGGATCAAGGTACACATACAGAGACTTTTAGACCAAGGGGTATTGACTCCTTGTTGGTCTGCATGGAATACTCTGCTGCTCCCGGTCAAAAAGCCCGGGGCAAATGACTACAGACCGGTAGAGGACTTGACGGAGGTCAACAGCAGGGTGGAGGACATTCACACCACCGTACCCAATCCTTATAATCTCCTCAGCGGTTTAAATCCGTCAAGGACTTGGTACACTGTTCTGGATTTAAAGGATGCCTTTTTCTGTTTGCCTTTGCACAAAGATAGCCAGCCCTTGTTTGCGTTTGAATGGACGGACCCCGAGACTGGGTCCACCAGACAATTGACCTGGACGCGCCTCCCACAGGGCTTCAAAAATAGCCCGACCATCTTTGATGAGGCTCTACACAAGGATTTAGCCCCCTTTCGGGCTCAACACCCGAACCTCAACCTCCTTCAATATGTAGATGACTTGCTGCTGGCCGCGGACTCTGAGGGTGACTGCACCAGTGGAACTCAGGACCTTTTACGTGAGTTGGCTATCCTGGGATATAGGGCATCGGCAAAAAAGGCTCAAATTTGTAAACGAGAGGTAATTTTCCTGGGCTACTCCTTAAAAGGGGGGAAAAGATGGCTCACTGAGGCTAGAAAACAGACTGTGGTCCAGATTCCCCCTCCAAAGAGCCAAAAACAATTACGAGAATTCCTGGGTACCACGGGGTTTTGCCAGTTGTGGATCCCTGGGTTCGCAACCTTGGCAGCTCCCCTATACCCGTTACTGAAGGGGGGATCTCCCTTTGTTTGGGAAAAAGACCACCAGCAGGCCTTTGATGCCATCAAGCGGGCCCTCCTATCCGCTCCGGCCCTGGCCCTTCCTAATGTGGATAAACCCTTTACTCTCTTCATTGAAGAGAAGAAAGGAATAGCGAGAGGAGTACTAACCCAGGCCTTTGGGCCATGGAGGCGTCCGGTGGCCTACCTCTCGAAAAGACTGGACACTGTGGCGAGCGGGTGGCTGCCCTGCTTAAAGGCCATCGCAGCGGCTGCCTTGCTCATCAAGGATGCTGATAAATTGACTTTGGGACAAAAAATAACAATCATTGCCCCGCATACACTAGAAAGCATCATCTGCCAACCTCCAGACAGGTGGCTCTCAAATGTCAGAGTTACTCATTATCAGAGTCTCTTGCTCAACAAGGACAAGATAACTTTTGGACCCCCGGTGACTCTCAACCCGGCGACCCTGCTGCCGGAAGAAGCTCCGGAACCCATCCTCCATACCTGCCAGGACATCTTGGCAGAAGAGGCCGAAGTACGACCGGAATTATTGGATTACCCCCTACCCGATGCAGAGGTGACCTACTTCACTGACGGAAGTAGCTTTTTGATTCAAGGTAAGCGGTATGCGGGGGCGGCTGTGACTGATCATTCCAATGTTATCTGGACAGCCAGACTAGAGGACGGGTCCTTGGCCCAAAAGGCCGAACTGATCGCTTTGACTAAGGCTCTGGAGCTCGCCAAAGGAAAGCGGGCAAACATTTACACGGATAGCCGATATGCTTTTGCAACGGCCCACATCCATGGGGCCATATACCGCCAACGGGACTTCTGACCTCCGCAGGCAAAGAAATAAAACACAAACAGGAAATCCTTCAATTGCTAGCTGCAGTTATGTTACCTCAGAAGGTGGCGATAATACACTGTAATAGCCACCAAAAAGGGACTGATCCTGTCACGAAGGGAAACAACCTGGCCGATCAGGCAGCAAAATCTGCAGCCATGGGAGTCTCACAGATGTTGGTGACTGATATCAAAGATTCTCCTCCCAAAGAGAAAGCTCAGATTAACCAAACCCCTGAGGCATCTGACCTGACTACTTACATACGACAGGCCCATCGGCTCACCCATTTGGGAGTTAAAAAGCTGTGCCTACTGGCCCAACACCAAGACTTCCCGGGGGCATCCCCCACTGCCATACGCCAGGTCGCCACGTGGGTTGTGACTAATTGTGAGGCATGTCAATTGACCAATGCCTACCCTGCCAAGCTGGCCCCCGGCAAAAGGCTACGCGGCACCAGACCTGGACAATACTGGGAAGTAGACTTTACAGAAGTTAAACCTGCCCGATGTGGACTAAAATATCTGCTAGTTTTTGTGGACACCTTTTCTGGATGGACTGAGGCTTTTCCTACCAAAAAGGAAACTGCTGCCATGGTAACGAAAAAGTTGATGGAAGAAATTTTTCCTCGGTTCGGATTGCCAAAGGTAATAGGGTCTGACAATGGGCCGGCGTTTGTGGCTAAGGTAAGTCAGGGACTGGCCAACATATTGGGGATTGATTGGAAGTTACATTGTGCTTATAGACCCCAAAGTTCAGGACAGGTAGAAAGAATGAATAGAACTATTAAGGAGACCCTCACTAAATTGGCTCATGAGACTGGCTTAAAAGATTGGACGATGCTCCTGCCTTATGCCCTTTTTCGCGCGCAAAACACCCCGTCAGCCAAACCCCCTAACCTTACTCCCTTCGAGATCCTCTTTGGCACTCCACCCCCCATTCGAGATCTCACTCCCTTAACTGAACATGCTGCCTTGTTGCCAACCTCCCTGTCTGACAGGCTCATCGCCCTCGACAATCTACAGAGGGACGTGTGGACGCAGCTAGCCTTGGCCTACGCCCCCAGTGAGTTCCCCGCGCCACATCCGTACCAGGTGGGAGACTTTGTGTTCATCCGGTGCCACCAACAAGAGACTCTGCAGCCTCACTGGAAAGGACCATACCAGGTCCTATTGACTACTCCTACAGCGGTAAAGGTTGACGGAATCGCCTCTTGGATCCACGCGTCACACCTAAAGCCTGCTTCAGCGCCAGAGGACGACTCCTGGGAACTCAAACGGTCTGATAACCCCTTAAAACTTAAACTGAGCCGAAAGACTCCTTGATGCTGTTTCTGTACACTCCCCTTGTGTATTGTTACAAAATGACCCAGCAAAGACCCCAGATTGTAACCCCCTGGGCTATAATGAAATTACTCATGTTAGTGTTAGTCACCCCTACAATAGCTAACCCCCACCGCCCTTGGATCTGGTCATTGATTAAGTGGGACAACCAAGAGGTGGTCGGCAAGTGGGAAGGATCAGGTAATCCCACTTTTGCCTTCTTTTCCTGCGATATTGTCCCTCAAGCCCCCTGTATGGATCCATCTCAGGTTGTTTACCTATGCCCAACTTCAGTGGGGGGGAGAACCTATTGTAACTCCCCAGGAGAGTATTACTGTGCTTACTGGGGATGTGAGACGGTGGCCACTGCGTGGACACCCACCATAAGGGACCAACACATTAGTCTTTCAAGGTTGACTGGAGCTCGCCCAAAGCCCCCCACTTGTTATGGTGGGGCTTGGGATGCCGAGTTGAGCCAGGGACCTGGACCCTGCCTATACCTACAACTCACGGTCCTCACCCCCCAAGAGCCTTCATGGATCACAGGAAAAACTTGGGGGTTTAGATATTATCAAAGTGGAAAAGACTCAGGGGGATATTTGTTTATCAAAAAGGAATTAAAACCAGAAACAAGGCCGTCCCCGCCACCACTGGCCCCAACAACTGCTAAAAGACTTTTATCCCCGGGGCCCAAGGCTACCCAAAATCGAGAACACATGACCTCACCCCGCACCCCCTCCGGGGATTTAACTAATTCTCCTGAGTGGGGACTCGTCCCTCCAACCGTGAGCTCTCTTCTTAGCCTTATACTTGGGGCTCATAAAGCCCTTAATCTTACCCATCCAGACCTAGCCCAAGCTTGTTGGTTATGTCTAAGTGCTAACCCTCCATATTATGAGGGGACTGCTCTAAATGATTCCTATACGCTGACCCCCAATTCTGACCAGTGCGATTGGGATCACGTGTCCCACACCCTTCCTTTACCTGGCCTCGCTAGCCAAGGAACCTGTATAGGGACACTTGATAATTGGCCTGCAGACCTACGCCATCGCTGCCTCACACATACCCACTCCTTCCCCAGAAACCAGTACCTCATCCTTCCCACCGGGGCATTCTGGTTATGTACTACGGGGCTCACCCCTTGTGTTTCCACAAATGTACTCCTTGCAGGGGACAGCTCCTGCACCCTCATAGACCTTATGCCACGCATTAAGTATCTCCCTCCTGACATGCTCCCCCTCATGAAAGGTTGATATAAACGGGAACCTGTCTCCCTGACCCTGGCAGTCTTATTAGAGATAGGTGTGGCAGGGGGGATAGGAACTGGTACAGCAGCCCTCATTACTGGGCACCAGTCCCGCCAGCAGCTTCTTGCAGTTGTGAACCAGGATCCACAGGCCCTAGAGACATCTATAACTGCATTACAACAATCTCTCTCGTCTCTATCTGAAGTAGTGTTACAAAACAGAAGAGGCTTAGATCTTTTGTTTTTAAAAGAAGGGGGTCTCTGCGCCGCACTTAGAGAAGAATGTTGTTTTTACACTGATCATACTGGGATTGTAAAAGATGCAATGGAAAAGTTGAGAGAGAGAATCAGATCTTGAGAGCCCCCTTCAAGTAAGCCAAAGTGTTCTCTTTCTGGGAATCAATCCTGCCCTATATTCTCCCTTTATTGGGACCTCTGGCCGGATTCATTATAGTCATGGCTATAGCCCCTTGCCTCATTAACCGAGTAACCTGGTTTGTGAGGGCCCAGATTTCTCAAGTAAAAGTTATGGTGCTACGTCAACAATATGATCCCTTACCCATACAGGACCTTTAAGATTAAAAGTCATTTGCAAAAAAAAGGGGGGGAATGAGAGAATCGACTCCCCGTTTGTGATGTAACCCCCCCGAGCTATAGAACAGAGCTGTAAGGAATGTCTCACTCCCTAATTCCTCCTAGAGATATTGGAGCAGGCCAGGAAGGAATGCATTTGCTAGTCATTAACCACAAGATGTTCTGTCCTCTGTAAAGGAAAAGATAAGTAAAGGAATGTGCTGTTCAAACAAGACCGAGTTATACCTGGCACTCTGAGATCAGACCAGGACCCTCAGTCTCCATGGTTACTCAGCCCCAGACCCCTTGAATCAGCATTAGCCAAAGTCCTGCGCCGTTCAAAATTAACCAATGCGATCTGCTTCTGTAAACGTGCTTGCTTCCCGCTTGTGCCCTTAAAAACCCTGCACAAATTCCCCTCGGGGCCCTCCGCACTTGTTTGCCTGGAGGACCCCATGCGCATGGAAATAAACTTCTTTCCCTCACCAAGAGTTGAGTCCTTGGGGTCTCTTTCCCTGCGGCGGCGGCCCTAACAATTACAATAGTCACTTTTATATTTGTTGTTATTTTAGAAAAACTAACAAATATATGCAATTTTTAATTATCTTTTATTTAAATAATTGCACTGGTAAGGACTTACGTATAAAGCCTTAGGCTAAGTGTGATTCCTTTAGTCCCAGCATCAGCAGAGGATGAGATGGAACAATCATGGCTTTGAAGCTCACTTTGTGAGGCAATTTTGCTAGATGATTTATCAGAATGTGTGGTAGTCATTTTTATACCTGCATTTGAAGTTTAAGGAAACAGGTAAGTTTAGGTCAAGAATATAAATGTAGGATAGGATAGCTGAATCATGAAAATCATGATTTCTTTTTTTGGCCCAGGAAATGTGTGTTTCATGGTAATTTGTGCAACAGTCTTAAATATGCCTGTATTAGAGTAAAACATAGTGAAACATGAATGAGGGAGGCATTCTAGGTTCTGAAAGTAGAGGCATTATCAAAACTTTTTTACTCAATGCTACTGCTGGTGCTTTTTATAGGAAATAAGATAGGGCAACAAAACATGAAAAATGATTATATAATAATTTAATACTCATGCACAAATGAAGAAGCCAAAAAAAGAAACAAACCAAAAAATCGTCAAATGAAAAAGGATGAAGAAACCATCTACAGGATAGGAGAAGATTGCATGTTACTCCCTGACAGCTAACATGTAAATCCAATAGAAATGTGAAATGAATACACACTTTTCAGAACAGGTACAAATTGTCAAGAAATACCTGAAGAACTATTGAGCATTTATGCACAATAGAGAAATGCAGATCAGTACACCATCTCATTGCAGAGACAAATCACTGCAAGACCAAAAGAACACTCATGAGATTGCAGGGGAAAAGAAACTATTTAATTTTGTTGGTGGAAATATAAGAAAGTACTTCAACCACTACTGAAGTCAGTGTTCAATGTATTCGAATGATTAAACATAGTGAGTCCACTAAGTGAAATGCTTCCTTTAATGGGTCTCATACTCAAAGATCTAAGGACCCATTGCAGTGATTCATGCATATTCCTGTTTACTGCAGCAATAGTCACTTTTCTGTGGAGAGCAGCAGCAAGCACTGCTCCATCACTACCAAATGCCAATGATGAACAACAAATACTCATCAGTGCACTCTGTTTAGTAAATGATATGCTATTTTATTATGAAATGAGATCTAAGTTAGGTTTTTATAGTATGATAAGGATGATATAAGCATGAGAGTCATGCTAATGTAACAAGGCCCTAACTATTACACTCTTGTGTTAATTATATTTGAACTGTTTTTCTTTTGGTGGCAACATGTTGCTATG